AAAAAAAAAAAAAAAAATTGAACTCAGGACCTTGTGCTTACAAGCCAGGCAGCAGAGCCACTGAGCTAAATCCCTGGCCCTATGGCTATCATTTTTACAAAACATTTCTAATGAGAAAAGTTTTATCTATATATAAATCAGGCATAATGGTGTATTCCTATAATCCCAGCACTATGCAGGCTGAGGCAGGATTGCTTCAAGTTTGAGGCCAGCCTGGGCTACACAGTGAGTTCAAGGCAAGCTTGAACTACACAGTGAGACCCTATTTCAAAAAACCAAAAATTTTAAAAGATTAAAAAAAATGCCCACTGATTCCTCTGGTAATATAACACACACCTAGGGTGGTAACCAACCCAACTCCATCTTGAACCTCACCACCATTGTGTACTCAGACTTAGGCAAAGCACCCCAAACCCCCGCATCCTGATTGGCAGAAAACTTGCTGTGGCTGCAGGATGTTGTGTAGCTCACCTCGCTCACTCCCCACTAACCAGGCATGGTTTTGCTTCTGTAAAATTCCACTTGCTCTCCCCTTTAGTCCTCCCCAACTGAAAGCATGATTTAAAAGGAGAAATCAAACCACTTCTCAGTGCCAACAGATCTTTCCAGGCACTAGCCTCTCTCGGACACCAGCTTTGAATAAAGGGACTCAAATCTGACTCAGAGTGTAGCATATCTCTAAAGTTCCCACTCACTCAGGTGGAACACTAGAAGATAAGATTTTCTTAAGTCTCCCTGAATGCAAGTAATTCTATTTCTCTATGAGTTTGTTTGTTTGTTTTTTTCTTTTTGAGACAGGGTTTCTCTACGGAGCCCAGGTTGGCTTTGAATTCATAAAGCAGAACTTAGAGAAAATCAGTTATTTCCTAGCCTTAAGCAGTCTAGGATGCATTCACTCTTGGACTCCTTCTCCCCATAATTGCTGACCTTTCCTCTGCTACAGATAGAGTGAATAGCAAGATTCTTTGCTAGCAAAACCCTGTGATGTCCTGGTTTCTTAGGAATCTGACTTCTTACAAGGCCAACCTCTGCTCTGGTATTGATAATGTAAATAATCACACCCCGTAAATGGAGTCCTGTGACATTTCAGGAGCTGTTTTCCCTCAGAAAATACAAATAAGGCTGGCAACTGTGTTCCTGTAAACAAGTTCCTATGACATTCTGGAATATCTTACATCTGTTAACTTGCAAAGGCTAAGCTGTAAAAATGTCACTGAGTAAAATCACCGCCTTTGTCTCATTTTTGCAGCAACTCCTTCAAAAACTGTATAAACACTGGAGTCTTTCTTTGTTCATGGCTCAGCCCTTTGTACACAAGTCCAGCCATAATTGGTATGCACCTAAGATCCTGGAATAAAATCCTTCTGTTTCCCAGTGGTCTCCTGTCTCTTGAATTCTGAAACACTGATGCCTCAGCTTCCCAAGTGCCGTGATTACAGGGCTATGCCATCACACCTGGCTCTGTCCTGTAGTATTAATGGGTCTATTTAAAGATAAAACATTTGGAATTTTACTAAATAGGAGAAAGATCATTGAAATGTTTTAATGTAAGTTTAATGTCATTTAAAAAATCACAAACAGATGAAGGCTTACTAATGTTCACTGACTTTTACTGATTGAAAATCATAATCCCAGAGCTGAGGGTATAGCTCAGTGATAGAGTGTATGTTTAGCTAAGTCAATCTCCAGTCTGCCCAGAAAAAAATAAAAAGCAAAAAGGTCCCTAAGTCCTCTCAAATATCCTGTTTTACAAATATTTTTATAGTTCAAAATATAAGTGGATTAACAAACACAAGGTCCTGAGTTTGATCCCCGGTACTGAAGAAAAAAAAAAGGATCAAAATTTAAGTGGATACTCATAATGAATTAGTGTTGTCTTTGTGTACACGCCATGCAGTAAACAAACAGGAAATGGCTTATCTTTTATTTGAAGGTGAAAACTTTGACTTCAGGCCTGCTGTGCAGTGTTCCCTGAGGACATTTAGCAGCTGAGGCCACAGTGGGCCTGGGCCCAGTCAAGGCCCGGTGGCAGCCAGGTGTGCTATCAGGTCTTTGGCATCTTCCATGATGGAGGGGATCTCAGTGCTGGTCTTGGTCACTTGAGTTCCAAACAAGAACAGCTTCCTGTCATTTCCCACCTCAGACAGTGCCAAGGCTTCGTGGATATCTGTAATGTCATAGGCTGCTTCCAGATCCTTCACCAGGGTGGAAAAAGAATAGGAAACAGTTGGTTATTTGGAAACCCTGTTGGATACACTTATCACTCTTATTTGTTGCTCCCAATGACTCCACCATTTTAATGCAACGTGTTACTCGAGCATTATGACCACAGCGATTGCTAAAATATAAATATTTTCATTCAGAATTATGCCAACATTTACAAGTTTATCAAAAAGGTGTTTTCTAGAATCAAGCTGAGCCAACATAATACCTTAATTTTTGAACAGTGCTATTGATCTACTTTTAATTTTGCTTTGCCATTCTCCTTCTTATCTTCTTAGATAGTTTTTGTATAGATCGTATTTTATTGATTTTATAGCACTTGCTACTGTGTTTTCTTTTCTAATCATTATTTCTACTTAACAAAAAATGTATATCAGAAGGGAGACAGAGAAAGGACCAGTGAGGAAACTAATTTAGAGAAAGGGATGGTAAGAGGGGGATACCAAGAGGGGCAAAAGACATAAAAATATGGAAAAGGCTTAAAAAGGGAAACTCCCAGGAAGAGGCAGAGATGCCCATGTTGGTGCTGTGTGCCATGGTCCACACTCTTAGAGATCAAAATGGCAAGGTCAGTGCATGTTTCTGTGCATCTCATAATACATACATTTCATAAATACAGAAGTACATATGCAAATGACCTCTGATATTCCTTTATGTAAGTTATTTTTCAGTCTTCTGCACAAATTTTGGCATTTTCAATTCTAAAACTGCATTGGTAATTAGCTTTTTGCTTTTGTTTTACAGCATTCTTTTGTTTTTGTTTTGAGAAAGGGTCTTCCTATGTTGTGCACGTCCATGTCATGAACTCTGGGGCTCAAGCAGTCCTCCCACCTCAGCCTCAGGAGTAGCTAAAACTACAGGAGTGTGCCATTGTGCCTGCCCAGCCAGGTGATCATCTTTACATCTCTGGAAACCACCCAATATTGAGGTCCCCCCCCCATGTACCAATAAAACCTAGCAAATTCTATCACTGAGAGCCCGTGAGACTCTTCCAGATGTGCTACACATGGCCACTGGTTAGGGCTGGCTACCCTCTGGGTGTTGGTAAGCACAATATAGTGTCTGCTTGAAACTTGACCTCAGTTAGTGCTAGAGCCTGTAGGAAAGTTTTCCAACAGTGCTCATGGATCCAGTAACACAAGGACCATGTCTCGGGTTAATAAGCTCACTGACGGAATTGGAAAGGAATAGGGAAAAGGTGTAAGATAGGAGGAGGGCCCTTTGTAATGATATAGCACACAAGTGTAAATACAAATACAAATGTAAATATTTACATACTTCTTAATAGGTCATAACTCATAAAGATAATAAATATCTTTTGAAAACCAGTATCTAATTACTTGAACTTGAGTTGGCTAAAAGCACAAACTAAATATTTTGGCCAAAAAGTGCATTAAATTGAAATATCCACGTCTTTAATCATTAAGACCCAGCAACAGGTACCCACATGACCATGAATGGCTCTGTTTATTCAGTTTGTTAGAGACAGACACTATTATGTTTTAGATCTAAAATGCTCCCACAGAGCTGGGGATTTAGCTCAGTGGTTCCACCGCTTGCCTCAGAAGCACAAGGACCAGAGTTTGAACCCTGGAACCAAAAATAAATAAATAAATAAATAAAATAGAATGCTCCCCCAAAGTGCCATGCGTTTGGAGGTGGGGACTGGCTGGTGGAGGGAGGGTCTCCGGGCTGTGACCTGGAAGGGTGTGTTCTCACCCCCAGCTCCTCCCTTCTCTCTGCTGTCTGGCTGCCAGGGTTGAGTGGTCTGCCAGGCTGATCGGCCCTGAAGCCACCAACCAGGACTGAGCCCTCTGACAACAGTGAGCAAAATAACCCTCTCCTCCTTAAGCTGTGGGTGCCTGATGCTTGGTTCCAAGGATAGAAAAGTGGCTAATATAAACGCAAACCACAAAAGAAAGCGCCAGCAAATTTGGCAAAAATGGAAAAGCAAAGTAAAACAATATGCCACCAGGATACTGGAGAAGGTGTATTCACATGTACACGTTCCTCTAAATCTTTGTGGTTTCCCTCTTCTTGCTTTCTTTTTTTTTCTTTCTTTCTTCTTTCTCATTCTCCCTCCCTCCCCTCCTCTCCCTCTCCCTCTCCAGCAAGGGTACAAGGATTGAATCCAAGGCCTTCACACTGAGTCACATCTCTAGCCCTTTTTAAAATTTTGAAACAAGTTTTCGCTAAGTTGCTAAATTCCCCAGGCTGGGCTCAAACTTCCTGTCTCAGCCTCCAGGAGTAGCATGTGCCACCACACGGTTTTCTGTGTTCCTTCCCTTTCTCCATTTTCTTCTCTTCTCCTCAAATCTCCAGTCCTCTCTTTTCTCCTCACCTTCCCTCCTTTCCTCTCTTCCTCTCTTTCTTTCTCAGGGCTTTGTACATGATAAACATGTGCTCTACCATTGAGCTACACCTCCAGCTCTAAATCTTTGTAGTTTATGGCATTGTATGTGCTCCATGTAAGCCACATGTGGTGGCACATGACTATAATCTCAGCACTTTGGGGAGCTGAGACAGGAGGATTGCAAATTCAAGCCCAGCCTAGGCAGCTTAGTGACTTAATGAGACCTTGTCTCAAAATAAAAAGGGTCTGGCAGTGTAGATCAGTGTGAAGGCCCTGGTTCAATCCAGTGTATAAAACAAAGCAAGAGGCTCATTGAGCTGGGCACAGTGGAATACACCTATAATCCCAGCACTCTGCGAGGCTGAGGCAACAGGACTGCAAATTTGAGCCCAGCTTGGAAAATTTAGTGACTTAGCAAGACTCTGTCTCAAAATTTGAAAATGAAAAAGGCCCAGGGATCTAGCTTAGTCTGATGGCCCTAGGTTCAATCCCCAGTACGGCAAAAACAAAAACAACGAAAGTTTCTACATGAAAAGCAAAACCAAAAAGCATCATTCTTTCTTTTTAAGTGCGAGCAACATGTCAAAATCTACTGGAGTAGGTTCTTCATTGGACTTCAACATAGGCTCCTGCTGTAGTTCATCATTCGTAATTACTTAGTTCTCACCCATAAACATCCACCCATAGAAGTTGTGAGAGAAAAGGCAGGAATCGATCTCTTCTGTGATTTGCAAATGTGGCAAGTGAGAAAGGGGCTTTAGTATCACAATCTTACAGAAATTTAATCTTTTCGCTTTTTTATTTTGTGTAACACAATTTGCTGTCGTGATGGGTGAGGTGGTGCATGCCTATAATTCTAACTCTCTGGGAGGCTGAGACAGGAGGATTTTGACTTCCAACCCACCCTGGGCAATTTGACAATTAGGACACACTGTCTCAAATTTTTTAAATTAAAAAAAGACCTGGTGATGTAATTCAGTGTGTAGCCCTTGGGTTCAATCCCCAGTACTTAAAAAAAAAGTGCATAAACATTGTATAACATTATCACCACCCATCTCTCAAAGTCTTTGCATGTTGCTAAACTGAAACTCTGTACCTATCAATATATAGAGAGAGACACTCTCCATATATGTACGTATATGCATGATTCCCCCTTACTCCATCCCACAGTCCCTGGCAACCACCATTCAACTTTGTATCTCTATGGATCTGACTACTCTAGGAGTCTCTGTAAGCAGACTTACACAGCATTGGTCAGGTCAGTTTGTGACTTACTTCACTTAGCGTAATGTCCTCGTGATGCAAAAGTACCATAGCAGGTGTCAGGACTGCCTTCTCTTTTAAGGCTAAGTGATATTCCATTGTACGCATGTACCACATTTTGTTTATCCACTTATTAGTGGGTGGACAGGGGTTGCTTCCCCTTTTTGGAAACTATAAATAATGCTGCTATGAACATAGATGTATGAATATCTGTTTAAGTCCTTGCTTTCAATTCTTTTGGGGTCACACCCCCAGAGTAAAATTGTTGTATCCTGTGTGAACTCTATTTTGGATTGTGTGTGTGTGTGTGTGTGTGTGTGTGTGTGTAGTGCTGGGGATTCAACCCAGGGCCTCACACTTGCTAGGTAAGTGCTGCACCACTGAGCTACAATGCCATCTCTTTTTAAAATATGTATTTTGGGCAAGGTCATATTAAGTTGACCAGGCTGGTCTTGAACTTACAGTCCTCCTGTCTTAGCTTTCCTAGTAGCTGGGATCACAGGTAGGTGCCACCACATCTGGCCTATTTTGGATTTCTGCAGAAACTACAAGACTGTTTTCCATCACAGCCATACACTTTTGCCATTTCCACCAACAGCACAAGAATTCTAATTTCCCCATGGGTGTTTGATACTTGCAGTGCATGTGCACAGTAAATTCAGGTCAGCCTTTTCTAAAATAAAACTTACACATGGCAGCCATTCAAGTATTCTGTTGAATTCAATTCATCAATATGTTTTTATTAAAGTATGTTCAGTACATATTTATTGGATTCATACTATGCACATGGAAATTTGTTTAGTATTTCAAGGGACACAGAAATGAACAATGGTCCCTATATTCAAGGAGTTTTTGTGGGTTTTTTTTTGTGGTATCGGGAATCCAACTCGGGTCCTTGAGCTTGCGAGGCAGGCCACCGCTGAGCTAAATCCCTGGCCCTATTCAAGGAGTTTTTAATCTAGTCACTCTAATAAACGGTATTGACTATATAGTATATTGTTAAATATCTAGATATCTAGCTGTCTAGGAGACATTATTTGTACTACTAATAAAACCACTGAGCACAATTTGTTTTTGCACAGCTTTTTACCTGTTTGTGTGCAAACACAACCAGAGGAAGGATTGGGTGGGCTTCGATGAGTTGATGAAGGTACTTCTTGGCTTCAGGCAATCGGTTGTGATCTGCTGAATCCACCACGAAAATCAGCAGCAATCCTTTGGACAGGTGCATCTCCCAGGAGGAACGGAAAGGCTCACTGCCACCAACTGCAGAGAAGAGGAAAGGAAGAAGTCACCAAGCCCACAGAAGTGTCTGCCTGCCGAGGCAGCACTCCGGGCACACCGGACGGTGTTAGAGGGAACCCAACTCTGAGGGCCACCATGGGGTGCTGCTGGGGAAACCACTGGCTGTGGGAGGCTGAGGCAGGAGGATCACTGTGAGTTCGAGACCAGCCTAGGCTACATAGTGAGTTCCAGGTCAGTCTCAACTACATAGTGAGACCCTGTCTCAAAAAACAAAACAAAAAAAGGATCCCCTCCAATAAAATAAAATAGGGTTTCCCTAAGTTGTCCACTCTAGCTTTCAACTTGTGATCCTCTTGTCTTAGTCTACTGTTACAGGCAGGTGCCTTAATGTCTGGCTTGTAATTGTGTGTGTGTGTGTGTGTGTGTGTGTTAGTGAGGATTACATTCAGAGCCTTCAGACTAAACTACATCCCCAGCCCTCTTAGTTCTTATTCTGAGACACAGTCCTGCTAAATCACTAAACTGCCCATTGGGCTCCAATTTGAAATCCTCCTGGCTCAGCCTCGCAGAGTGCTAGGATTATGAGAGTGCACCACTGTGTCTGGTTTATAATTTATTTTTTATATTTTTAGTTGCCTCACTAAACTCATCATTTTTAATAATTTGAAAGGCGTTTTAGGTTTTCTTTGAAGACAATTATATCATTTGTGAACAAGTACTGCTCGTTTCTTCCTGTGATCCTTATACATTTTCTTTTTCTTCATCTGGCAAGGACCTTCTGTATGTTGTAGGAAAGCATTCTGTTTGTCCTGATTTTCAAAGGACTACTTCTAACAATTTATTAATTTTGAAGAATCATGCATTCTTGGGTTTGGTACCATTTATTTTTAGCTTTAAAACACAGAAATGGGAACTGAATTTAGCAATTTTTCTGGTTTCATTGAGATGGTTTATTTTTTTACTTTAATAAATTTAGTGATGACATTTATATGTGAGTTCAAGGCCAGCGTGGGCTGCATAGTGAGACCCTGCCCCAAAACAAAACCAAAACAACAAAAAGACATTTACAGAGTTGTTGTTTTTTTTTTTTTTTTTTTTTTTTTTTTTTTTTT